AGTGTTCCTCCCTGTGAAATGGGGTAGTGATGGTGTCTCACCACTAGGGCTGCGGGAAACAAAGTTTGAGCAGTGGCTCAGGCGCTGAGACTCGCCCGGGGACTCGGCCAGCGGAGCATCTGGAAGGGTCAGGAACATTTGTTCCTGCCAGTTGTCACTGCAGGTGTGACACTGGATGAACACAGGCAGGAAGCTCTGGCCCCCAGAGGTGTCTGTGCAAGCCACCCCTTCTTGGGTCTCTGTCCCCGCCGGTGTTCCTGACACCAGCTGGTCTTCACGGTCTCTGCCCAACAGGGGCAGCTCCACAGCTACTCTGGGCAAGTGCCCAGCCCCAGGGTCGGGGCGGGCACTGAACGCAGGGGCTGCCCCTCGGGACCTTAAAAGGGCGTTTAGGAAACCGAAGCAGGTGAATGGCCAGGCCACCATGGCAGGAGGTCTTGGCGAGCCCGTGGGGTCTGGGCGGTCACACAGCAGCGTGTCTGTGCTCCCAGGGGCCGTCACTGTACGAGTGTGCTCCCCACGGCAGCTTGGAGCTCTGGGGCCCGGCTCACAGAGGCTCAACACGGGGTAGGCCTGTTCTCTGACACTGGTCCCCAGCGGGGTGCTGTGGACCCTGCTTCCTCTGAGGAATAGTTTCCCTGACAGCATCTTTGAGGTCGTAACTTTAAGTCATTTTCTGTTGTTAAAATAGTTTATTTCAGCTCTTTAAGAGTCAACCCTGACCTCTAAGAATCTTCACTATCATATTTGACATAAAGCATCCCCTCCAGGCAATTCTCTGAACTTCCAGGTCATGGAGGAGAGGCTGGGCCTGTGCCCTCCAAGCCGACTCTTGCTGTCTGGAGTCAGGTAGGGGAGCCCGGCCTCCATGGCTTCCCAGCATCTGCTGGCTTCCTGTCTCCGTGTGTGTGTCCCTGTGGTCCCTCTCCCATGTGTGCCCCCACTCCCGTGCGCTTGGCCTGCTATCACGAATCCACAAACCAGTCTCCCCTCCACTGTCTGTCTCCCTGGTCCACATGGGTTTAGCGCTTTGCAATTCTGCCCTTGGCCCCATCCTTCAAGGAGGTGGTCCACCCCAGGGCTAGCCCAGCCATGCAGGGGTGAGATGGAGGGACCCTCAGTCTCCCACCGTCCAGGGAACAGACTTCCCCCCTGAGAACCGCTGTCACATGCCCTGGCAGACCCTGGGTGTTTGGAAGTCCCTGTGCCCCCAGTGCAAAGTGGGAGGGGCCCTGTTCTTGCAGAGCTGGCTGCTCCCCACCCCTAGTCCCTAACCCTGTTCCTCAGCAGATGCCACTTAAAGGCCATCTGGGGGCGCAGTGTCGTGGCCGAGGCAGAGCTATCTACCTGGCACATACAGGCGGTTCTGGAAATGCCTCATTCCCCTCATGTCCCCCACTGCTGGAGACCACCCTGTTTTGCCACAGAATCCTCTGGGGAGAAACTCCAAGTTGTGAATCTTAGACTGAGGAAGGAGCCCAGCACACTGCCTTGGCACCCAGATAGGAACAGGTCTCAGGGTAGCTGGAGGCAGAGCTGCCGTGGGGAGCACAGGACACGCCCTGCCACTTCCCCCTTGCATCCCGGAGCCAGAGTCCAAGGAAGCAAATGCAGAAACAGCTGCCCCCGTGAGCCTGCAAGAGGCAGGCACGGCCGTGGCTGGTCACATGGCAACAAGCACTGGTTATTGACAAAATGCCCTTGGTCACCATCAGCTTGTTCACACTGAGAACAGGATTAGAATGCAGTCCTGGTACCAGGGTGGCAGTAGCACACTTGTCACACAGGGAACACGTTACACCCCACAGGACACGTGTGTAGCACAGGGAGGGTGCTCTAGTGCCAGGGTGATGTTGTGAGCAGTAGGAACATGCCACATCCAAGTGGTCCCTGCTGTGTGGGGCTTTGTGGCCCACCCTGGACCCCTGGGAAGGAGCCTCTACACGCGTGACCGCCCTGGCATGTCCCTGCAGGTGTCCCTGGGACAGCTCTTTTCAGCTGTGCTACCCCCAGAAAAGGCCCCCTGGACACTGTCCTGATAAAATGCCTGCCTCACAGGAACCCGGCTGGGAATTCCTAGCGCTGGCGCCTGCTGCCAGACGTCTGGGGCCAGGCAGGCTGTGGAGCAGCAGGTTAACCCTGTGCTGCCTGCACTTCCCAGCCCCGAGGTCCTGTGACTGCAAGCTGAGCCCCGGGCAGAGCGGCCACCAGGTGGCAGTGTGGCCACCCTGCCTTGGGCTCTGCGCCCAGCCTGCTCACTTCCAAATTTGACCCGCGCTGGCCATGCAGTCACTGGATCGGAATGGCGGGACCCACATGGTTGAGCAGAACACACTGTCCTTGGGGCCTGCGCTTCCTAATTTAGGCTCCCACACTCGCTCTCATCTTGCACTCCTGCAGCCACGCATCGTGTGTCGTTTCCAGCTGGCAGTTTAGTAACTGGAAACTCACGGAGCAGCAGCAGACTGTCCTCACCTGCGTGTGTGTTGCGGCTGTGGCCGCCAGGCCATTTCCAGGCCATTGGGAGCCAGCAGCCCGGCCTCCCTGAACTCCTGACTGCACGGCCCCGCTTTCAGCACACGCGCTTAGCTACCCGCGCCTGCTGTAGCTCTGACTACTGTGTTTTAAAGGTAGGAGAATCTGGGATGGCCACTGGCACCTTTGAGGTGAGGAAAGGTGACCTGTCCCAGCCTGCCATGCCCACCCTGCCCACCCCCAGCCCTGGAAGCACCTGGCCAGCAGGGCCGGGGTTGAGGAGCCAAAGCCCACGGAGGGGTTGGGGCCACCGTAGCTTCTGCCCAGTCCCTGTCTAGCACATCGTCTGCGGGGCGGCTGTAGGTGCTGCTGCTGTGGGGGTGTGAGCAGGGGTAGCGTCCACATGGGAGGGCTCCAGCGCGCGTCTGGGCCACTTCATGAAAGCAGGACCAGGGACCCTGGGCGGGCTGTGAGGTCGTGGGCGCACGCTGGGGCATCAGAGCCAGGCAAGAGGGGTGCCCAGCCCTGGCCACAAAGCTGCCACTCAGGATCGCTCAGGTGCTGCAAAAGCCCCCCCGTGGCTGGAGCGAGTGGAAGCTGGGGGCCTCCCTGAAAGCAGGCTCAGGAGAACAGGGCCCTGTGCCCATGTGTCCTCGTTTATGGGCCTGCATCCAGCGTCCCCTTGAACTGCGGAGGGATTTGCTAGAAACATGCTAGGCTGTTCTGTGCAGCAACGCTCTCTGTTAGATGGCGGCCCCCAGGCAGCTGCACAACATGGGCCTGGGACAGGCAGCAAAGGAAACGCTGTCGCAATTCTAAATGTGGGGTACCGAGGGGCTTCCGAGGGGCCTGTGAGAGGCTCCACCCCTAAACCACAGAATCACCATTGCTCAGTTCCACGTGGCCACACTGCATGCCGAGCACAGAATCATGTCCTAGGTCCACCAAGAGCCTTTCAAGCAAGAACACACTCACACGCCACCTTAGCGGTGCATGGAGCCAGGTGTCACCCTGGGGCCTTACGGGGTGGCCAGCTGTTGTCCAGAAGCTCGGGCAGTGCTGCTTAGGCCAGGCCTGGCCCCAGCTGTGTGACGCAAGGAAGCCTGGAGCTGCTGGGTTCAGGGGTACTGGGGGGCAGCCAAGAACCTGTTCTCTTTGGGGCACAGGCAGAGTTGAGTCCCTGCTCTCATGGATGGACACTGTCCTTGCACTCCATGTGGCCAGTTGTTCTCTGCCTTGCCTTGTTCTGTTGCCAGTGAGCAAACGTGGTTTGTGGATGTCTCCACCACCCTGCCCCCTGCACACAGCACACATCGTGGGTGGATGTGCACGTGATGGCGGCACCCACAGGAGCAGGACAGGCCGTGTGTGACACGCCCTGGAGAAGGGGTTGGGCTGAGGCCAGACTGCACTTGGTTTCAGGAGGAGAAGTGGCTTGCAATCCCAGCATATTACTGCAAGAGGCCTTCAACGGATTTTCTCCTAACTCCTGCGGAGTTTACAAAGGGAAATCTTGAGCCCACAGATTTGCCAAGAAGCTCCAGAGGCTTCCGTCAGCTTGGCAGGACATCACGCTGCAGGGGGGCGGACCAGGCGCATCTGACACCCGCTGCCCAGTGGGGGTCTTCCCTACATCAGGCTGCCAGGAGGGGGTCAGGTCACAGGTCGGAGTAAACCGGACTTGAGAAGCATGGAGCCTGCGCATGGAAACCGCAGCTGGGCTGGACGCCCCCGGAGGCAGACGTGTGACAGCCATGCAGGAGGGTGGGGGTGTGAGCAAGAAGCCCTCCCTTGGAGAACAGCAGCCGGGGTGGGAGGGGAGAAGCAGGGGCTGCCTATGCCCTGCCAGGCCAGCAGGGTCCCCGGGCCCGTCTCCTCCTGCTGTCTTCAGCGTCCCCCGGGGCCATCTCTGCCCCTCCTGTCTTCTGAAGGGCCGCAGCTGGGGAGGGCAGGGGCCCTGAGCTTCAGGCCAGCAGCGAGTGAGGATTGTTGTCTCCCTGCCTTCCAGCTGCCAAACCGGAGCACCGCAGACCAGGGGCTGCAGATTCACAGTGAGAAGATGGGGGGAAGGGTGGGTGGACGACTGCTGCAGACATTAGGGATGACGGAGTTGATAGCAGACTGTGATGCCCGTGACAGCAGCGAACTGCTGCAAGAGAAGTCAGCGCGTGGCGTCGCAGTGGTGCTGCGCTTACTGCTAGGCAGTGGGAGAGCGTCTGTCAGCCCCACAGTGGTCACGCCAAAGACGTTCCAGACAGCTCCGAGAGGAGCACGGGGAGGAGCAGGCGCTCCCCTTCTGAGCCCCAGCCCCCGGACCCTCCCCCAGAGGCAGTGCCTGCATGCTCCCCCCATCAGTCGCCCTGCGTGTGCAGCGGTCACACCACACACACCATCTTTTCTGTCTTTCCCTCTCGCCAGTAGCCTTTGGCCAGCACCTGGCCGATGCAGAGGTGCAGTGATGCGGCCGTGTTGTGCCCGCTGTCTGCAGGGCCGGGGGTTCACTGGCGTCTCGCTCTCGTCCGCAGCTTGTCAGGATGCCCGCGAGCCACGTCTGCCATGAAGAAGGCGAAGCTGTCGGGGGAGCAGATGCTCACCATCAAGCAGCGGGCCAGCAACGGTGAGCAGCCCTCCCGCCCCGGCCCCGTGCGGGGCCGGCCAGCAGCCCTGTGCCCCGACCCAGAGGCATGGCTCACAGCCCCTACGAAGCAAGCAGACTGATCCTGGCCCCCACACACAGCCGACCGCAGGGGACTTTCCCAAAGACAGCTCCCAGCGTGGGCTTCCCCCTCCCTGGGTCCTGTGGCTCCTGCTTTGCTGCCTCTGCCCCTGAGACCCTCAGTTCTGGGCCTCTGCACCCAGGAGCAACGTGGGGGCTGCTCAGGCACAGGACAGCAAGGACACAGGAACCCCCTTCCCGCCCCTCCACACTCAGCATCTGGGGCCTGCTTTTGTTGAGCCCACCTACAAGGTCCATTTCCTCCCTGTGGTCTCCTGCTGGCCATCTGCCTGGGCAGGTGCGCTCTGCCAGGAAAGTTGGAGGGGAGAATGTGGGAGAGGGCAGAGCAGCACAGCAGCTGGGGCCCGGGTGCCCTTGTTTGCTAACCGCGTCTGCAGTCCCTGGTGTGGCTGCCATGGCTGCTTGTGGATGTGCCGAGGGAGGAGTCAGCTGCCGCTCACAGACCATGAGCAAGAGTTTGACTCACAGGCTCCCGAGGGCCACGTGCTCAAACTCTTGTGCTTTCTTTTGGTGACTTACTGTTTGCAACACCCCTAGACATAGTACTGACCGGCTGGACAGTGTCACTGCCCCCCTCCCCACCAAGCACGAGGCCGTAATTGTCCTTATGCAGAAAGCATGCGTGTGACAGGCACTCGCTCTGGCTGGAGTGACAGTGCTGCTGGCCATGAGTTCTGTGTGATGACCCACGAGGGTTCGTCATGTCAGGCTCTCACCAGGAACATACATGAAACAAGCTCAGCCCGTGGCTCCAGAGGCCCAGCCGCCCAGAGCTCATGCTGGGAGAGTCCGAGTGACTTTAGGGCTGAGAGTCCTGCCAGTAGCCCGCTCCAAAGTGACAGGTGGCCCTGTAGCCAACTGGCTACAACCTAGCAGCGTCCGGCCTTCCTTTCTGCCTCCTAGGAGAGGTGGAGGCAGAGCCAGACTCACTGGGCATGGGCCAGGACCCAAGCTACATGTGTGGGAGCCCGGCTATACCATGAGGTTCTTCCCTCTTGCCATTTAACCACTAGCTAGAGGTCTCTAGTGAGGCGTGTAACTGCCTGTAGAAGCGTCTCCCCTGCCATTAGCATGCATGGTCATTCACCAGAAAAATGACCAGATCCACAACAGTTGTGCCAAGAGTATAGATTCCTGTGGGCCAGCACCCACCCCGGAGTTCACCTCTGTCCTGTGGGGTGAGAGATGGGCATTGGAGTCTGCACGGTGAGCACAAGGAGCCGGTGCTGAGACACGGGGACAGCCATGCCCACTGTCTCCTGGTCACCAAGGAGCCATCACCAATTAGAAACATTTCCTGGCTGTCCCGTGCCAGACACTTCACCCAACACCTGCCTGCATCCTGAGACACAGGGTAGCTGTGCGTCTCTGTCACTAACGCAGGACGTGACGAGGTGGAAGATGCCAGCTCAACAGAACAGAACAGGAAAACTGAGAGGACAGAGGCCGTGTCCCAGTGGGGGCATGCACCTGCAGGTGGTCAACAGCTCCCACCCCAAGCTGCCCACACCCCCGAGCATCCAACTGCCAACTCTGTGTCAGTGGCCCGAGTGGCAGGCGGGGCAGGAGACATGGCTCATCCTGTGACTGCAGGCCCCCGTCCTCCATCAGAAACCATGAGTGCTTTCCTGTAGGGCTCGGGTGAGCTGTCATCCCGTGGATGTGCACTGCAGGAGCCAGTGGCCAGACTCCATCGCAGTGGGCACTGCTGGCCCCGGGCACTGTGTGGGCAACGGCTGCCTGTGGGCCACCTCCCACTGCCAGGTGGCCCTTGGAGTTTCCCTGTCACGGTCCTGTTGAGCAGGAAGCTGGCGTAGTGTGGAGTTTGACAAGACATTTCTGCTGTGTCCCCTGGGATGTGCATGTCCACAAATGGAGGAGCAGGAGCCTGGGTCGCCAGCAGCATGCAGCAGAAAGTGCCCTCCCCACACCCACCCCTGCGTTGGAGCCTGGGCTGCCTCTCCCATTATGTTGTGCACTTGGCAACGTTCCCACAGGACCAGAGAGACTTCTCACCAAACCCCAGAGTGAGCTGCTACAACTATGTGTGTGGTCACTGCAAGGACAGGGGCACGTGTGAGCCACTGGGCCTCAGGGATGGAGATGTTGCACTGGCTTCCCAGTGTGGCTGTCACACGCCTCTGCCACCAGGTCACACCAGTCACCAGATCATACCACAGCCACCAGCTCACACCACTGCTACCAGGTCACACCACAGCCACCAGGTCACACCACAGCCACCAGATCACGCCATAGCCACCAGGTCATGCCACAGCCACCAGGTCACACCATGGTCACCAGATCATACCACAGCCATCAGGTCACACCACAGTCACCAGATCACACCATAGCCTCCAGGTCATGCCACAGCCACCAGGTCACACCATGGTCACCAGATTGTACCACAGCCACCAGATAACACCACAGCCACCAGCTCACACCACTGCTACCAGGTCATACCATAGCCTCCAGGTCATGCCACAGTCACCAGCTCACACCACTGCTACCAGGTCATGCCATGGCGACCAGGTCACGCCTCAGTCACCAGATCATACCATGGCGACCAGTTCACACCATAGTCATCAGATCATATGATAGCCACAAAGTCACACCACAGTCACCAGATCACGCCATAGCCACCAGGTCATGCCACAGCCACCAGGTCACACCATGGTCACCAGATCATACCACAGCCATCAGGTCACACCACAGTCACCAGATCACACCAGATCATATGATAGCCACAAAGTCACACCATAGTCACCAGGTCACGCCACAGCCACCAGCTCACATCACAGCCACCAGATCATATCATAGCCTCCAGCTCACACCACAGTCACCAGGTCATGCCACTGCCACCAGGTCACACCATGGTCACCAGGCCATACCACAGCCTCCAGGTCACACAACTGCTACCAAGTCATACCACAGCCACCAGCTCACACCATAGCCACCAGGTCACACAGTGGTCACCAGATCATACCACAGCCACCAGATAACACCACAGCCACCAGGTCATGCCACAGCCACAAAGTCACACCATAGTCACCAGGTTACAACACAGCCACCAGGTCATGCCACCACTACCAGCTCAGCTTCCACATGGCCCTCACTGTGGGTGCTGGAAACACAATCTCTCCTCTCTCTTTTTTCTGTGTGCAAACCCTACCACTGGTCACTTTCACACCTTCGCATGTAACCCAGGCATCCAGAAACATCTGTCTGAGCCTAGCCCCAGTGGCAGAGCAGAGAGAAATGGCCAGGACCCTGGGGTCAAGGTGTGGGAGCCAGCAGGGCATGACAGCCCAGGCTCTGGATTTGGGGTTTGCTGTTGAGCACTTACTGAGAGGGAAGTGAACTTCTCAGATGTCCTTGACTCCTGATGAAGTCCTTTTTCTGTTTGGCTCTGAGAAGAGCAGGCTCTCACTCCTGCCCTGTAGGATTCTGCCATTTCCTTTTTCTCACTGGGTGCCCTCACGTAATTACCCAAGGCTCAGCTCACTCGAAGCAGCTGGGTGCAGCTGGAGAGCAGATGCCTGTGAAAGTTCACCACGCGCTGTCCGGCCTGGCTCGGGATGGCTGCCTGCCATCCATGCTTTTGCGAGAGGGCAGCACAGGTTCAGGCCTTTAGGAAAGAAGGAAATAAATGAAGCATTTCTCTCTCCTCCTGTTCCCACCGAGGGACCTAGGTAAGAACTGTGACTGTCACAAGGCACCAGGGGCCTGCGGCCTGCCAGGACCTCATGGTCTCCAGGAACTGGTGTTTGCCAAAACTCTGGGGCCAGGCCACGTGTGAGGGTGCCCAGAGCTGTCTCGCCTAGCACAGGCGCCGTCTGTTAACCACTGGCAGGCTGAGGAGACTCGAAGTCTCTCAGTGCCAGCTTGAGGGTGACTTCTCCATTGCCAGTGTCTACCCAGCAGCTCTTCCATCTCTGCACTGCTGCGTGGCACCAGGGCCCTCCCAGGGTGGCACGTGTGTGTCTGGGACTCCGCGGTCCAAGGCACAGACCCTGGAGCGGAAAGTTGCTCTGATCTCCAAGACTGGCTGGCAGTGAAGCCTGGCCCGTCAGTGGATGCGTTGGACTTTAAGAACTAAACACATGTGCCAAGGATTTGATGGGCGCACACTCATGTTTGCAGCTCTCTGCAGCACGTGACTTCCGGGGGCTGTGCACACTCATCTTGAGCAGCCCTGAAGCAGAAACCTGGAACCCAGGATGCCCCCAGGTCCAGGACGTTGAGGGCACAGACCTGACGCCACATTGGAAAATGCACACCTGACCTCGTGTGCTGGGCACAGCCAAACCTCCTCTGCCCCGGACACGAGCTGGCAGGGAGCATCAAGGAGCGGTGGACACGTGGTGTCAGCCCTGGCTCCCGACCCCAAGTGTCTCATCCAGCGTGTGCAAAGACCCCAGCTCAAGCTCACTTCTGCGCCAGGCGTTTCAGAAAAGGAGACCCCGCCTGCGCATGTGCGGGGGCCTTTGAGAGCTTCCTGGAAGAGGGGAGTTAACTGTAGTGGGATTCTCTCCTGAGCGTGTGGAGGGCGCTGTGTGTAGCAACTTCTAAACTTGTAATAAGGAATTTTAGTTGGGAACTTTCAAGTCAGGAGAAGCATGTTTGGTTTGGTTTGTTTTTTAATTCTTTAGAGCAAACAAAAATTGAAGCCAACACACTGGACCACATATAGAACACGGTTTTTGGTTGTTTTAATGATTTCTCTACTCACCCGAGTGGCTCAGCAGAACGAAGCCCCTTTGCAACCCTAAATCATCGGCCCAGAAACTCATTGTTTTTCTCATAATTACCCTCAGCCCGGCCCAGTGGAGGTGCAGTCTTGATGCCAGGAACAGAAACGCCGCGAACAGTGGCCGAGACCCAGATTTGCCAGGCAGCTCCTAGCTGGGGCACGGCTGCGAGTCTTGGTTGAAGTTCACCTGTGGCTGCGCTTGGGGACTCCTGTATCTTGTGCAAACTCGAATCTGAATTTTGAGGTTTTAGAGGAGGACTGGTGGTCATTTGTTGATGCCATTTCCTTTGCAGAGAGCTTAAGGGCCAGCTGCAGAGCATCCTGGGAGAGAGCGCGTCCATTGGTAAGACAGAAAGAGAGCGAGGTGGGCCCAACAGGGCTCCCGCAGCATGGCTGGCTCAGTGAGGCGGCACAGTGCAGTATGTGGGAGAACGGGGCTGTCTGTGCTGTTCAGAAAAATTAAGCCACCTGGTGCTCAGTTTTGGTCTTCAACAAAAACAGTGAAGCCCACACAGAAGAGACGCCTGCCAGTGGCTCAGAGCTGAAAGACGGGAGACAGCGGCATGGAGGCTTCGCTCGGAACGCACTGGGACGTCCACCCAGAGGACCAGAGCAGCCAGCGCTGCCATAGCCTGTCTGTCCTGTCCGCAGGTCACCCAGAGACGCTCTTGCTGTCCCTGGATATGTGCAGTCGAATGCTTCTTTCTTTTAGAAAAATATTTTTTTTAATTTTTTTGAGAAGGAGACACAGAGATTCTCCATCCGCTAGTTCACTCCCCACATGGCCGCAACGACGGGAGCTGAGCTGATGCAAAGCCAGGAGTTTCTCCCAGGCCTCTCATGCTGGTGAGGGGCCAATACACTTGGGCCACCCTCCGCTGCTTTCTCGGGAACATTAGCAGGAAGCTGGATGGGAAGTGGAGCAGCTGAGCCTGGAACGGGCACCCACGTGGGATGCCGGCACCACAGGCAGTGATTTGCCCACGGCACCACAGCACCGGGCCCGCAGTCGAATTCTTGTTCAGTGATGTGCTGAGTGTGCCTGCATTCATGGCGCGTGGCTGAGCCTTGAAGGAGGCTGCCTAGGGCCCTCTGTGTGCATTTTCCACCCTGGCTCCCGGGGCAGCAGTGTAGGGACAGTCCAGCCGACGTCCCAATTTTGGAAGATCGTCGTCAGTGTGTGGGCAGGACATGCAGGGGAAGCGTAGTGGCCGACCCAGAAGAGGCCACCGTCCTCATTGCAGCCTTCTTTGTCTCACACTCGAGTGCCTTTGGGGACAGCCTTAATGAAAAACATGGCTTTGTCCGTGGGTCCTGTGGACACCAGCAGAGAGTGGTCCCAAGCGCGACCCAGCACGGCTGACCTGGCCCACACCAGGCCCTGCGCTGAGAGAGTCCAGTGGAGCTGCCAGCCAAGACCTGGCCTTGGGGGAGGAGGCAGCTCAGAAGGAGCAACACCCGCGGGATGAGTGACCGTGTCCCGCGGGATGAGTGACCGTGTCCCGCACTGGGTCCCGGTGTTGGGGGGGCCGGGTGGTGTTTCCTGGAAGATGCTCTCTTCTGGTCTTCCTGCGGCCCCACCCCACGGCTCCCACATCTGTCTCTTCCTCTCACCTTCCTAGATATGCAGGGGCAGCCTCAGCCCTCTGCATCCAGCAAGGCTCTGTTTCTGGGGTGTCCCTAGAACCCATCTCCAGTTGGCCATGATTGCCCCTTCCATTGGCAAAGCTTGAGCCAGCACTCACCCACCTGGAGCCCCTGGAGGCCTGGGCTGGGTGTGTTTTCCATTCGTTTTAAGGATTCCTTGTGCCCTGTAACCAGTGGGAACAGCAGCCCCACATCCTGGGTGTTCAAGATGATTCCATTTGCAGTGTGCACTCAGCCGGGCAAGAAGGCCCAGAGTGGGAGGGAGGCTCCATTTTCCTGACCTTGACGGTGCATTGTCGACAGTGTGACATCAATGGTGTGGTGCTGCCGCAGCCAAACGTGGCTGCGGCAAGAGTGGTTACTGATGGTGTTCTCGGCAGTATGTGTCGGCTTCTGGCCAAGTGCACGGCCAGGTCAGGGTTGGCCTGCAGGCCTGCTCAGGCCCCCCATAGCAGTCGCCTGTGCTACTGTGGCTGGGACAGCAGGTGCACCCCTGGCTGCAGGTGGTCCCTCTACGATGCTCTACAAACGGGCAGTTATGACATTTGACGTGGGTTTTTTCATCTTTCAAAAGGAGAGGAATATTTAGTTAAATGTCTAGTGCTCAAACAGTCCTGTGTGGCCACTGGCCCAGCCTGTCCCTGCCGCCTGCCCACACGGGCAGCTTCATTTTCGTGGATGGTGCCTGCGTTCCACCCTAAGTCTGAGCTTGGTGGGGCTGAGCCTGAGGCTGAGGACTACTCGTGCTGCGGGTGCATCTCCACACTGGTACTCACAGGAGGTAGGCAGAGGATGAGTGTGCCCAGCCCTGGGAATCACCAGGCAGAACTGCATGGGCTCTGCCCGGGCACCTGTAGCCAATCCTCTTAGTGCCTCACCTTGGCACCTTAGCTCCAGGGGGAGCAGTGTAGGGACAAGGACCCACGTGTCCAGTGCCTTGGCTCTGGGGAGCAGTGTAGGGACAGAAGGACCCACATGTCCAGTGCCTTAGCTCTGGGGAGCAGTGTAGGGACAGAAGGACCCACATATCCAGTGCCTTGGCTCTGGGGAGCAGTGTAAGGACAGAAGGACCCATGTGTCCAGTGCCTTAGCTCTGGGGAGCAGTGTAGTGACAGAAGGACCCACGTGTTCAGTGCCTTGGCTCTGGGGAGCAGTATAGGAACAGAAGGACCCATGTGTCCAGTGCCTTGGCTCTGGGGAGCAGTATAGGGATAGAAGGACCCACGTGTCCAGTGCCTTGGCTCTGGGGAGCAGTGTAGGGACAGAAGGACCCACGTGTCCAGTGCCTTAGCTCTGGGGAGCAGTGTAGGGACAGAAGGACCCACGTGTCCAGTGCCTTAGCTCTGGGGAGCAGTGTAGGGACAGAGAGACCCACGTGTCCAGGGCCTTGGCTCTGGGGAGCAGTGTAGGGACAGAAGGACCCACGTGTTCAGTGCCTTGGCTCTGGGGAGCAGTGTAGGGACAGAAGGACCCACGTGTCCAGTGCCTTAGCTCTGGGGAGCAGTGTAGGGACAGAAGGACCCACGTGTCCAGTGCCTTGGCTCTGGGGAGCAGTGTAAGGACAGAAGGACCCACGTGTCCAGTGCCTTGGCTCTGGGGAGCAGTGTAGGGACAGAAGGACCCACGTGTCTGGTGCCTTTGTGTTCTACCTCAAGCAGGTTGCATTCCAAACTCAGACGGAGCAGTCATTTCAGATGTAATCCTTCTAACATGGGGACTTCTCCCTTCCAGGGATAGAAAACGACGAAGAAATCAAACAGTTGGATGAGGAGATCAAGGAGCTGAATGAGTCCAATTCCCAGATGGAGGCCGACATGATCAAACTCAGAACTCAGGTAACAGTTTTTGAGGCCCTCAATTGCAGCTCCCACCTGTGCTCCCAGGGCAGAGCCATGCCCCAGGGGGTGCCCCGTAGGCTCCACCTTCCCCGCCTGCCCACCTCGTGCCTGGGTCTCCCACAAGACCACTCCCCTGGCCATGCTTCCCCTGGTTTTCTGCCCTTGTGTGCCGAGTTCTTAGTGAAATGTGCTGCAGCATTCCCGGGATCCCTGCGGCTGCACAGGGGCCCTCTCTCCCCAGCTCCTCCGCGTCCCAGGGGTATTCAGTAGCTGCATTGGAGGCCCAGGGACATCCCTCAGCCCAGGACCTCACACAAGGCGGCCGGGAACTCGGGACGCCCCTGGGTGGGGCTGTGGGAAGCCCTCTGTGTGCGGGGATTCCCAGCCCCAGCAGGCGCAGCTGACTGAGCTGCCGTGGGGGAGGGGCAGGGGACAGCGGGAACGGTTACGGAGCTCCTACTGAATGCATGGGACAGAGCAGCCGTCACGAGGATCCCGCAGGTAAGAGTCCTCGCCCGCAGCACCCACCCCAGAGTGGCCAAGTCCTCAGCAACCAGGGTGACTGGCCCTGGTCTGCCCGAGCCCGTGCTCGCCCAGTCCTCGCTGCCTCCGTGGCGGCCTCCCAGAGGGGCCTTGCAGCGAGGTTCCCTTGCTGGCAGAGGGGCCAAGGCACGGCTTCTCCTTTCTCAGAAGCGAGGTCTCTGCCCTGACCGTCCCTGGGGACCTGCCCCTCCCTCCCCCATGGTCCAGTGTTCCTGAGAGCTGACCCTGGGAGTGCTCCCTGGTCACTGAGAAGTTGGCTCAGTGAGTGGAGCGCAGTCCGAGGACGGGCAGCTGCGGCGACACCGTGCTGCTCCTGCTCGGCATCCTGGTTCTACAGGTGCATCAGTGAGGCTGCGTAGCACCGAGCGACTTCCCCTGGCCTTTTGACGCTGCTGAGGCGGTGGTCAGCGGCTCTGCTCTGCTCAGAGGGGGTCTTCCTCCCTGGGAACGCAGCCTCCAGGGGCAGAGGCCCCAGAAAAGTCTCCAGGGCCTCCGTGGGCACCACAGGCGAGGCCCAGGTGGGCACCTGCCCCTGGCCGCGAGGCTGCTGTCGAGGCCTTTTGACGCCAGCCCCCTTGCTGAGCGTGGGGCTGAGCCCTCACCTGAGACCACCCACTGCCTGGCCAGGCTCCCTGCAGTGGTGGAACTTCCCTGGAGACTCACTCCCAGTGCAGCAGCCCAGGCTGAAGGCGGCCTCCCGGTCCCTGCGGAGCAGCCAGCTGCCCCTCAGCAGTGCTGTGTGTGCAGGGCGGCGGGAAACCCAGCCGGGGCTGTGTTCCTGGAGGTGGCCAGTCCCAGGCACCTTCATCGCCTGCCCTGGCTGGGAGTTCCTGGGCAGTGCCTGGAGGTTGGATGCGCAGCTGGCCCGTCCATCAGGTCCGAGGCGGGGTTCCAGTCCTAAGGGGGGGTGCCTCCCGCCTGCTGAGCAAATCCCCTTTCTCTTCGGGGAAAGCCCTGATCTCCCGATCCTTCTGCCTCCTGCCTCCAAGCACTTGCAGCCAGCGCAGATGACCGCTAGAGCTTAGCCCAGGGTGGTCCCGACAGACGGCTCACTGTGGCTGAGCGCGTCTCCAGGGAGGAAGAGGAGCCCACAGACCCCCACCCCTCCTTTCTGCAGCCAACATCCCAGCGCACTCTGGGCCTTCCTGCGTCTGAGCCACAGGTGTGCTCCTTGGGCGTCCACTGGCACCCCTGGTGAGAACAAGTGTCCAGGGCGGATAGAGTGGCCACGTCCCCAGGCGCTCCCCCGGGGGCCTTTCTGTGGAAGACAAGCCCACATCCAAGGGGCTGGAGACACAGATCCAGGTCCCCAAGCTCACCATTTGCAGGACTACTGAGCTCTACCCTGGATCAGGGGCAGCCGGAGCCACAGGGTCCCTGGGACAGGACAGGCCTTGCGCAGACCTGCAACAGTTCCTCGGGGGGCTCGCCCTTTACTCCCGCCCCACTCCAGAGCGCCAAGGGCCAGAGTGGGCAGAGCTCCGTGAATGTGTCCGCTCCTGTCTCCAGCCGGCCAGTCCTGGTTCTCCTCTTGGCTCAGCCCCACCTGGAGCAGCACTGGGAAAGGATAGACCAGAGTCCTGGGTCCGAGGAGGAGGCACAGCAACCCCAGGGCCCCTCTGAGACAAGCCAGAGCCTGTGCATGGACAGCAGCGATGGGGGGAGGCGGGCCCCACCGCCCACGGTCTCCCTGGGAGGAGGAGACCAGGCCCTCGCTGCCCCAGGCGACTGTTAAAGAACAGAGCAAGGGAGGGGAGGGGGAACTGCCTCCCCACGTTCTGAGGCTCAGACACCAGCCCAGGCTGACAGCTCCTGCTGGCCTCGGGGGACAGGCCTGGGGCCCTGCTGGGAAGATGTCAGATGCCTCTTGCTCACAGCTCAGCTGTAAGAACTCCAGTAGACAAACCCACCTTTGTTAGCCGAGCGCATGAGTTCACCCATCTGGAATGCTCTTGAACAGGCCCGAGGGTCAGGTGAGAGCAAACAAGATAACTTCTGTGTGCTGAGCAAGCCCAGACACTCGCACACCGCACACCACAGCGTGATAAGGAGGAGTCTGTCTGGCTCTTTGACCGCACACAAACAGATCAGGACTCCTGCGTGCCCCGCCCCCCGGGGCATGTGTGCCAGCAGAACAGCGGCCGTGACGGCTGCCCTGGGTCCTTGCAGCTCCGCTTCTCGGTGCTGGTGGAGTCCAGGCACCCGGGCTGAGCACCCCGAGCCCCGGCTCAGACTCCATCCCAGTTCACACAGCAGGAGTTGGGAGGGGAAGGGGTACCCATGGAAGAACAGGAAGCAGGGGACCAGCGTGTGGTGCCCAGGTGACTGCAGGCCGCATGGGGTGCGCACCCTGGGGTGGGAGCCACCCAGGAGCCCCTCAGACACAGGTGATGAAGGGAGAGGAAATTCTCAGGGGACACTGTGGGGTCACGGGGTCAGATCTGGCACGGTTTCATTAGGGAGCCAGCGGCAGGGAGGGAGGGATGTCAGATTAGAGGCCAGACTGTAAGAGAGATCATCACAGCCAGCCACTGGCTCCGTGGCCCTGAGAAGTGCGCACCAGTGTCCCCTGCGCAGCTCTGTCCTCAGCCAGCAGCTCAGCTCCCCGTCACGGGGCCGGGCCCGGCCATCTGTCCTGGTCATTCCAGCCCTCCGTGGAACCAGCTCCGAGCCCTACGCCACCTGTGCTCCTTTCCAAGCCTGCGGGAGGCACACCCCCCTCGGGAGTCCGTCTCCCCCCTGACCCCAGCGCTGCTCTCTCAGGATCTCACCCACCCACGCTTCTTCTGGAAACACCTCTGATGTGCACCACAGCCTTCCAGCCAAGGATCATGTCCTGCTGGGGCCCACGACCGCGCGGCACAGAGACCTGGCCAGACAGCCAGTGCGGCTCCTGGTTTCTGCGAGTTGTGCCATAGGTTTTCTTCTAACACACGCACACCATCCCAGTGCCATTCACAGGCAGGCTGTGGCCTGTGCTGGCACTCTGCAAACCCCGGGGTGCAGTAAACACTGCTCGTTCTTTTTCTAAGGTTTATTTATTTGAAAGGTAGAGTAACACAGAGACAGGGAGAGGCAGAGGTCTTTCTGTCCACTGGTTCACTTCTCAAATGGCCGCAACAGCTGCCAGGAGCTCCATCCTGGTCTCCCACATGGGTGCATGGGCCCCTGCACTTGAGCCATCTTCTGCTGCTTTCTTAGGCGCATTAGCAGGGATCTGGATCAGAAGTGGAGCAGCCGGGACTCGAGCTGGCTTCTGTAGGGAATGTGGCATCACAGACAGCAGACTAACCTGCTGCGCCACAGTGCTGGCCCCCACACTGCCCATCCTTGTCCTGCAAGGGGTGTATAGCGTCCACGAGCCTGTGAGAACCCAGGCGGATCTCCCACCTGGGCGTCAGCTGCTGCCCTTGGGAGAGCTTCTCCAGGAGGGGTCACATGTGCACTGCTCACCTGTAGCCTCCCAGATGTGCAGGGCTTCCTGGGTAAAGAGGCACAGAGAGCCAGGTGTGTCCCAGAACTCAGACTCGAGTTGCACAGGGGTTGCGTTGGGAACCACCTTCATACAGGGAATGGCATCACCCTTCCCTGAGGCTCAGAGCAGGCCACTGACCGGCTGCCCCACGCTCCACACACAAGCAGACCGTCCCCATGTGAATGCTGCGGTCAGAGGCACCTTGAGATGCAGACTCACTGGACATCAGGGTCCATGACGGCTGGAGGGGTTGGCGAGGACGACTTCTGCCTCTGTCCCTGGTTCCACATCCCCTCCCTGAGTGTGGTCAGCCCCTCCCCTGCCAGAGACCCCCCCGCACGTCCTCCTACTGCGCAGCAGCTCCTGGGGTCTCCTGCAGCCGGACCCCTGGACTGCATGGGAAGTTGCGGGAACCACGAGCAGGTTGCCTGAGGAGCCTTTGCTGGGAAAGAACCCCGTTTGCCTCACTGGTCGTAGAGCCCAGCCTGCAGCCACAGTCGACTCACAGCGGCAGAAGTGAGGCCGCGCAGGGGGCCAGGGGCTCTGCCCTGCGGCTGCAGCCTAAGAGGACTCTGGGCAGAGGGAGCTACAGTGTGCAAGGTCTGGTGCACGGTGAAACTGTAGCAAATCCAGCTTCAAGGTCTCAGCTGGCTCATTTGCGATGCTGGAATCTGTGCCATAGAACAGCCAGGGGCAGGTCTGCAGACAGAGCAAGGAGCAGGTCGGCCAGCTCAAAGCCACTTCCCTTGGAGAGGCAGAACAGTGGTCTCGGCCACAAACTCCGGGGAGCAAAGCGTGGCTGTCATCTCGGAGGTCAGGTGAACAGAGCTGGTGTGCCAGTGACTGCCCTTCGGCTTCTGGCCCAGTCTGCGGGGCCCAGAGCAGGAACCCCCTCTGCGGCAGTGGCCTCTGCGGCCTTGTATTAGGGGTGAGGCTGGGAGGCTGGTGGCACGGCCAGAAGCTCCAGTCTGTGTTCCAGCTGTCCCATGCTGGGCCAGCTCGGGAGATTGGAAAGGTCCTGACCCCCTGCCGCATGGCCCAGCTCTCCGTGGCCTGACCTGGCTGGCCTGCACTTGGGTGGGGTTGGGAGGTCCGTGGACATTCCTGAGGGCAGCGGAAGCACAGGATGCAGAAGAGACTGGTCTGAAGCGTGCAGTGTGCACAGCCAATGAGACGTGGGGGCATCAAGAAGCCCAGGGGTGGCCCTGCCCCTAGCACAACGTCCTCCTGTGGCGTTTCCTGGGAGCAAGGCTGCCTGGGTGGAACAGCGTGGGAGCAGCAAAGTACAGAGGAAAACTGCTGGCCTGGCATTGGGGGTGCACGGGGAGTGCCAAGGAGCCTGAGAGTCCGGGGGCTCAGACACCAGGGCCCGGGTCCACAGTAACCACTTCCCAGGAGACCCTTCAGCCTCCTCCATCCTGCTCCCCGAAGCCCGTAGGACCTGGGGCAATCGCCCACCTCCCTGAGCTCAAGCTTAGAAAACCCATCTTGGCCAAGCTGACTTTCCCCCAGGAACTCACCAGCTGGGAGCCAACATCCGCTCTGAGTGCTGGCACCACAGATCCTCTGTACAAACAGGGAGCACAAGCTGCCCTCCAGCGCCTGACACTGGGCAGTCACCCAGGCACCTTCTCCTGGGCTGGGAGTGGTCAGCTGAAACGGGACATCAGCTTGATTGGCAGCCACAAGAAACACAAGCAAGGGGCAGGCATTGGCGCAGTAGCTAAGGCACTGCCTAGGATGCCTGTGTCTCAAACTGGAGCACCTGGTTGGAGGCTCAGCGCCTCTGCTTCCACTCCATCTTCCTGCTAGTGTGCATCCTGGGAGGCAGCAGGGCATGGCTCAAGCACTTGGGCCTCTGCCAGCCGTGTGGGAGACCCTGATGGAGCTCCAGGTTCCTGGCAGCAGCCTGGCCAGGCCCCACCAGTTTGGCGCATTTGGGGAATGAACCAGCAGAGGGAGGATCTCTTCTGTCTGCCCCTCTGCATTTCAAATGAAATAAAAATAAGTAAAGAGAAACTAAAAGAACAACACAAATACAGGCAAGGAAGTCATACAGGACGCACCTGAAATAAAGCTGCGTGATTGCAGGGGTCCTCACGGGACCCCTGGGGCAACCCTCACCATCCGTGCCCTGCTGTGAGGGGCTGGACCCTGACTGTGAGTGACGGGGGGGTAGGAACACGGCACTGAGACCGGTGCAGCCGCAGCAGAGGAGGAGGGAGAGCTGAGCCCCTGGGAGAAGAGAAGGGAGGCTCCAGCACGGGGAGGCGGAGGCCTTGGGCAGGCCCTGTGCTCTGTGATATGAGCCCTGTCCCCCGGGCAGCTGCCCGCCCCGTGTGCGTGTGAGGCCACTTGCACAAGTGAGCGCCCTGTTGTCCGCTGTAGGAGCAGGCTGCAGGCCTTACACTCACACCCCTGGCCTTGGCAACCCTTAAATGCTCCCTGGAACCCTGGCACCAGGCAGCCTGGATACCCCCACCCCCAGCCCTGTCACAGAAGCCCGCTGGTCCGTCCCAGCTACCCGCAGGCAGTGCCCAGAAGGCAGGGGCATGCCCCGCAGGGAAACCAGCATCCTTGGACTGCTTTGTGGCAGTATCGGGTTTGGTCTGAAAAGAATGAAGGATGGGTGCAATACAAGACTTAATCTTAATGCATTCCCCTTAAGGCAGCAGGGAGAGCACAAGGAAGCACCCCATGCCCTTCAGAAACTAAAATGATTGAGCAGAAGTCAACACAGCCCAGACCCCCCCCACCACCACCACCAACCCTGCCGGCAGAGTCAGGCGCCGCCACGGCTCAGTTAGCTCGAACAGAAAGCATAAAAACCTAGCTCTTAACGTGACGGCCTCCCTGCCCCGAGTCTTCCAGCTTAAGCCCAGAGGCCCCTGGGCTGCCTGTCGCGGGCTGCTGCGCGGGCACCGCCCGGTGCTACATGGTGTGGTCCGTGTTCCAGATCACCACCATGGAGAGCAACCTGAAGACCATCGAGGAGGAGAACAAGGTGATCGAGCAGCAGAACGAGTCCCTCCTGCACGAGCTGGCCAACCTCAGCCAGTCCCTGATCCACAGCCTGGCCAACATCCAGCTGCCCCACATGGTAAGTGACTGAGACACGGCGGGGCCGCGGACCGCGCCCTGCACGCCACGCGCTCGCTGTCCGTTTTGCCATTACCTCCATGGTTCTTCAGCCTTGATGTTTGTGGCTGCCACCACCCCGAAACCATAACCAACCCCATCCGGCCCAGTGTGCTCTGACGGGCCTTTAAGTGTGATGAGAACAGTGGCTCTCTGCATTGATACTGTGTATGCTTTGTGAATATACTACTAAGAAAATAAAAGTTGTATATGAACTACTATTTAATATCTCGTAGGACCCAATCAATGAACAAAATTTTGATGCTTACGTGACTACTTTGACGGAAATGTATACAAATCAAGACCGTTATCAGAGTCCAGAAAATAAAGCCCTACTGGAAAATATAAAGCAGGCTGTGAGAGGAATTCAGGTCTGAACAGCTGCTCTAGAGCAAAGGATGCCTCTTGGTTTTGCTGCTGTAACTTGCCAGAAAGTGTTCTCTTTCATTTCTGTCTGGAACAGTGTGATGCTCACAAGACTTCATAATGATTTTATGTCTTGCTTTAAAGATAGTACCTGCAGAATAGTTTTTGGATACATTCACATTTTGTACGTTTTCATATGAGCTGACATAGTGTGATATGCCATGTAATGTTTATAGCTGCTATTGTATGCACATTGGGGGTATATATATTTCTGAAGAGGTAAGCGGATCAAAATAAATAGAGTGTAAATTCTTTTTAATGCTTTAGTGAGTAAATGTTTTAGTATTTTGAACTGAAATGGACAAAAAGAAAAAAAAAAGAAAAAATAAACCCACAGCTTTGGATGATCACACCGTGGCCTCTGTGGCCACGTTTTAGACATTATCATTTTGCCTCATGTTGGAGGACTTTTATGGAATTTAAGAAATACATTTTGTGTGCATATTGTTTCATAGCAAGAATTGGTTGCAAAAAAATGCTTTATTTTTGAACACTGCTTGGAAATATTATGTGATGTTTTTGTTTGTTTGTTTTAGGAGGATGGTGTATGGTGGGGGCAGTGAGTGAGGTTTTTTGCATTCCAAGGAAATGGCATGTGGATTAACTGTAAGACATGAAAATTGTAATTTGTTGTAAGACAACATCCAGCCGTGGGAACTTGGCAGAAGACTCAAAGCAGCTCAAACAGCACTTTTAACTTAACCCCCAAACATTACGTGGTCTGACTGGAGACTGCTGTTAAGACAGGAGCTTGTCAGAGGCGGACGCCACGAAGATTTCCTTTCCCATTCTCAATAAACTTTGGAACAGCCTTCTCTTATGTCCCCTCTAGTCCATGCCCCTCTGAACTGTCTGTTCTCGCAATGTAGTTGACCTACCAGGATCTGTGTGTTTCCGATCTAAGCGAAAAGATGGCCTAGAGCGTTTATTTCCCCTTTCTCACTTCCAAATTCTCCTTCTTGTTGTTATGATTTTACACTTGAGGGATCAAGGCGAGTGATCTGTGAGTGTTCTGGTTCCCAGTGAGAAGGCGATTCGGTGAAGCTTCTCGCCCAGCCCCCACCCCGACCTTGACCTTGACCAAGCACTTGGTCCCTCCCGCCACGAAGACGCTTAGGCTCTGCCTGGGTTGGAGACCAGTTGGCCGCAGAGCGTTTAGCGCGCCTTGTCTGGTTGATGGTGACCTATTCTAAGAATGAATGCAATCAGAGTTTAAAAGTAACTAATATACTTCGGCACTTTTTTGCTTTAAACTAGATCATCTTAGACTTGTTTGTACCTTTCAGATTTGATTGTTTTACTCCAAATGACTGCACTATATGTATGCATAAGACCACTTTCGATTGCTGCGTTTCCCTCCTGCGTAGTCCTTTGAAGATGTGTTGTGTTTTTCTGCTGTTGACTTGATTTCCATTTGGTAGCCTCTCTTCCTTCCATGTCTTGATGTTATGCAGGAAGTACAAAAGTACTTTAAAATTTTGTTATGAAATAAAAAAGATGGGTTTTGTAAAAATAAAAAAAAATATTTTTAGCAGAACAGGACTTACAGGGTCATTGTCCCCACAATGTGCCAGCCGACTATTTGCACTTACCTTGTCCTATATATCCGTACGGAGGTGTGCAATTCCTTGTGACGCTGAACCTGGATGGATTATAGAGGAGGCCCTCTCGGCTGACCCGCGACGGTTTCTAAGGGAGACTACAGGGATCTCACGACAAATACTCTGATACAATACTCAACCTCGGTATATATATGTACAAATAGATGTATATCCCAGCGGCACTTTATATACTGCTCACTGTACAAAAGCTGACAGTTCTCCACGAGGATCGAGCCACTGGCTGGGAAAGGCCACGTCCTGACTTCGGGCTCTGCAGCGTCCTCTCTGTACAGCGCCCTCCATCGTGCGATCAGCCGCAGCTGCCATGCTCAGAATTGCCTTCCGAGAGCTGAAGCAAGGTGCTCGACGTCACGTGATGCCATATATATAAAGTATATACACACACACACATGTATATGGTCCAGGGCCCCGCCCCGGGGCCGCCCCCGGGAGGGCCCGCCCCGGAGGGCCCCTGTTCATAGCGGCATATGCATTTCCCCACCGCGTTGTGTCTGCAGCTTCTTTGCCGATATAGTAATGCTTTTAGTAGAGTAATAGGTAGTATCAGTTTTGGATTCTTCTTGTTATCACCTATGTACAATGGAAGGGGGATTTTAAGCACAAATCTGCTGCTCATGTAACGTTGGTACGTAATATCCAATCAGAAGTCACCGTGACTGTTGTATAGGGTCACAAGTGTCACATGTTAGAATGCTGACCTTTCATATGGGGTTATTGTGAGTCATCAGAGTTTATTTATTATAACTTATTGTTCATATTCATTTCTAAGTTAATTTAAGTAATCATTTATTAAGACAGAATTTTGTATAAACTATTTATTGTGCTCTCTGTGGAACTGAAGTTTGATTTATTTTTGTACTACACGGCATGGGTTTGTTGACACTTTAATTTTGCTATAAATGTGTGGAATCACAAGTTGCTGTGATAATTCATTTTTAAATTGTGAACTTTGTACAAATTTTGTCATGCTGGATGTTACACATCTTACTCTAAATAAAAAGGTGTTGCCACATTTGTAGCACGGAGGATGTGTTGCCGGGTCTGCGTCTTCACTCACATCTGGCAGGTGCTGGGCGGCCGCGGGCCCACGCGCGGGGAGTCCCCGGCCCGGGCTTCTGCCTGAGCGCCTTCGCTCAGAGCCCCGGCCGATTCCGCCGCTCGCTGTGGCCCTGCCCTCCCGGGGCTGCACCTGTCAACAGCGCTGCCTGTACCCCCACGTGCTCCGTCCCCCGCACCCCTGCCCACAGAGTGCACGCACTGCCCCGTCTGTGTCCGGACTCCATGCTGCCCACGGCCCGGCCCGGCCTCCGCCTTCCACTTCCTTCCTCTAGAGCCATCCTCGGCCTCCTGTGTCTCCCAGCAGCCCGGGGCAGCTGTTTGCAAAGTGTCCCTGAACTAGTTTGCCGAGAGCCAGCGCCTGACGGGTTCACCAGAACTGGGAGCCCTGTCCTTCTCAGAGCGTCAGCCAGGCACGCGAGGTGGGAAGGCCCCTTCGCTGGCCACCCGGATGTTTGGAAATAATGTGTTGCCACGTCCACAAATCAGCAAACCCTGGAGCAGCAAAGCCATGCCTAAACATAAATGACCCTGAAGTACAACTTGACAATGATTTCCCTACACTCACATCACCTGCATTAGGAAAAGTCATGGCTCAAGGTTCAAAAATGCCCTCGTGTAATGGGCTCTACCCCACAACCATGAACTTCGAGGGCGAGAGCCTCGGGGAGCTCACGGGGGCTTCTGGACTCGTGGGTGGACTGGCGTCGGTACAGCTGTTGGATTTCACTGGGCTGCCCACACTCGTGCCAGAGCGCCTGCTCCCTGTCCTGGCTGCTCTGCTTCTGAGCGGCTTCCTCTCAGTGCACCCTGGGAGGCAGCAGTGATGGCCCAAGCGCTTGGGTCCCGGCCACCACGTGGGACGCCGGGATTGAGTTCTGGGCCTTGGCTTCAGCCTTGGCTAGTACTGGCATTTAGGGAGTGAACCAGCACATGGAAGATTCTCTCTCTTTCAAAGTAAAAATAAGTAATTTAAAAATGTTGACAGGCCAAGCTCCCTCAAGCTCCTGTGAGCCGGTGCTGTGTGGTGTTTGAGCCGGAACAGCCCTGCTTCTCAGCAGGCAGCAAACGGCACGGAGCCGGCTTTGCCTAAGCTCTGCAGCCTTCCCAGTGCCCCCAGGGGCTCTGGGGGGGGCGGGCCTTCCTGCAGCCGCTCTCCCCGCCCCCAGGGGCGCTGTGCCCGAGGCCATCTCCAGGAACAGCTAGAGGTCCCAGCGTGGCACCTGTTGGTGACTTGGGTCTGTCAGCTCTATTATGAGAAGACCCCAGCGTGCCTGAGGATCGGCGTGTTTTAGCAGATAGTCTGATGATATTGTCAAAAAGCTTAGAAAATTCAAATGTTTGACTCCATAATTCTTGAAATCTATCCTGAGAATACAAAACAGTTGTGAACACGTGGAAGTAAATGCAGACAGCCCCAGAAGGGATTGCACAACACCTGATGGCCACACCCCACGGGAGACCACTGGTTAGGGGCCTGCCCCGGGCTGAGACTGAATCAGGTTGTGTGGTCAGCTTTTCTTTGCCCCAGTGAAGCGCCTGAGACCAGAACCAAGTTTATTTCTCTGGTGGCTTTGGAGGCCCAAGGGCAAACAGCCTGGCTGGTTTGGAGCATGGTGGGGGGTGGCTATGGCAGGGAGCAGACAGTGGCTGGGCCCACGCAGCCTTTCACAGCCCCTCTCCTCTCCTGGACCTCCCTGGGCAGGGGAGGACAGGACCCAAGGACCGCCCCTGGACGCAGCCCACCTCCTGACAGTGCCACCCAGGGACCAAGCCTTTAACCCAGGGGCTCCGGGGGGCCTTCAAACCAGCATCCAAGCCATTGCCCAAGTCGGGCGTGGGAACCGTCCTGCAGGCGAAGCCCAGTGGCTCTCTGTGGGGGGTGGGCGTGGGCAGAGGCAGCAGCAGCCAGCGCTGTCCGTGCCGGGTCTCGGCCATCCTTGGTCAGCCGTGCTGGCTGCACACACGTTGCCTTTCAGTGGCCTAAGAGAAACCTGCTCCCGCTTCCCTCCTCCTGGACAAGGCGATGAGTTTCACAAGCACACAAGCAGCCAGGGCCTGCGGCTCAGCCAGAGGGAGCTCACCCAGAGAGCAACTGCCGGCTGGGCACCCCTCGGGCCGCACCAGGGACCCCGGGGCGTTACAGAGGAACAAGGGCCCAGCCGCCCCGCCACGCTCCCCTCAGGACTCTGCAGCCTCTGCTCCCCCTCCAGGGGCTCTGCCTCCGCCCCCCGCCCCCCTGGGCACAACCCCTCCCCAAAGCAGAGCAGTCCGAGGCTGTTCACTGGGAGCTGCTAGAGCCAGGGGCCGGGCCACTGTCACCTGTGTTTGCAGAGACGCATGGCAGAGGGAGGGCTCCAGGGGTGGGGGCAGCCCCTGGCGGCCCCCAAGAAGGCTGCTGGCCCGAGGGTCCCCGAGGTGGCTCACTGGAAGGGGCGTGTTTATGCCTCAGTGGGCAGAAATCAGGGCAGCTGGGAGCCGTGAAGTCCTGGCCAAGTGGGGCAGTGGTCCTGGGGCTCCCCGAGCTGCTGCGTGGTCACAGGCAGGGCAGTTCCAGTGCGGCCTGACAGACCCCTGGCAGAGGCCGGGGCACCCCACTGAGTGCCAGTGCTGCAGGGCGTGTTCCATGCAGGTCCCCACAGGCTGTCCGTAGGCGTGGCCTCTCCGTGGGAGGGGGCTCGAAGCTGGCAAGCGTGCGTGGGGGGAAAGAGGCCTCCTGCGGAGTCTGCTACAGTCCTCACAGCGCCCACAGCCACTGCAGCGGGGCCGCCAGGGACACAGGTCCACACAGGTGCCCTCCAACGCGTCCCGTGAGCTCAGGGACGTGGCCCGAGGAAGTTGGGAGGAGAATGTGGCCGAGCAGTGAGCGGCCTGCGTATCGCGGACCTGGGGGTGACTGGCACGGACGGGCGATGCGCGAGTGGCCGCCGGCCAGGGACGTGGATGTGGGCAGGGCGGCTGCTGTTTCTCACCTGAATTCATAAACTTGCCCCTGGAAACGTCCACGCGGGCCTTCTCCCGGGCTCTGAGGCTTGGCGGTGATGTCACTGCCAGAGTGCCCGGGAACCCGTCTCGGAACAGCCACAGGCTGCTGCCCTGAGGGGGTTTCTCCTTTGCTGCGGCCGTGGACGGCACGAGCGAGCGCCCTGCGCACAATCACGCTCAGCTGACAACGTGTCCGTCCTAGTCTGGGAGTTGCCTTGGAAAAGGAAGAGATTTCGGTAAATAAGGAACGGATTGGATCGGCCCCCCCACCCACCCACCCAGAGGCGGGTTCCCGGGCGTCCAGGCTGCGTCTGGGGGCCAGCTGGGTTTTCTCTCCTCTGTCCCCCGGGCACCCTGTGAGCCTCCTCCCCCGACGGCTCCCGCGTGGCCTGGCGTCGGCCACACAGCGACACTGCTCTTCCGATGCCGCTCTCTCCATTCCGTCTTCACGGTCGCAGGGTCTCTCGTCTCTCTTGGCCGCTCAACTTGCTGGTTGCCGGATGAGTTCATCTGCTGCGTTGGCAAAGCTGTTTCCCTCAATCCAGTGAGGTGTGGATTGAAAATGTTCTTGAAGGCTTTAGGCTCATCTGATGGAAAGCATGAAAGAGAACCCCATGGCCACATTTTTGAAATTCTTTATTTGTGAGACTTATTTATTCATTTTAAAAGGCAGAGTTACAAAGAGTGAGTTTGTCCGTCCGCTGGTTCACTCCCCAGATGGCTGCAATGGCCAGGGCTGGGCCAGGCCAAAGCCAGGGGAGCCAGGAGCTTCACCCGGGTCTCGCACGTGGGTGGCAGGGGCTCAAACACTGGGCCATCCTCCACCGCTTTCCCAGGCACATTAGCAGGGAGCTGGATTGGAGCAGCCGGGACACGAATTGATGATGCCGGCGTCGCAGGCTAAGCCTTTACGTGCTGCGCCACCATGCCCGGCTCACATTTTCCCATTTCGTTCCTGCAAAATAAGCAGTAGTCTCCTCGTTCTCCAGGCCTCCGACGACTCTGGCCTTGAACCTGCGTCTCTGATTCTCCCTGAGAGGTGAGTTCAGTGTCTCTGCCCACTGAAGCCTCCTAACCACTAACCAGTGCCCCTGAGACCAGGGAGAGGCCTCCCCTCGCATCCAACAGCCACCGATGGTGCCTGGTGGGGAAGCCGAGGATTCCAGGGGCAAATCCTGCTCATAGCTCACCAAGAACCTGCCCGGCCCCACTGCTTACAGGGTGAGCCGCAGCCTGGGCTCTGCCCAGTGCCTCGGAGAACCATAGCCAAGTGATGCAGACAGCACAGACGTGCGGAGTTCTGCGGCCTGGGGGATCACGGTGGTCGCGGTACCTGGGGATCTCGGGTGAGGAGCCGCACTGCCCTTTAGGAAGACACTGGGTTGAGACCGGGCTGTGTGTCAGCAGGAGTTTGCTGGCACGATGAGAACCCGGTGCGAGCCTGGGACTGGCGCCTGTGGCTGTCACTGCCGAGCTCTGGAGGGAACGAGCCACGTTGTGGAGCCCTGAATAGGGCCCCTGCCCATCTGAGGCAACAGTGAAGGAGCAGCCAGAGAGCCCACTCTGACCTGTGCAGAGAAAGAGGCCCCCGCCCGGAGCCAGGGTCTCCAGGCTGAGACTTGAAAAGAACCGCAGGACTGCGGCAGGTCTCGGACTTGCCAGCTGGGCCGGGGGCCTCCTCGGGCTCCGATTCAGGTGTCCCAGCCTCCTTGGGGGTCTTGGCTGAGCCCCCCAGCATCTCCCTCACTTGTCCGGCCCTGACATTCCTCAGGTGGGGAGCAGAGAGCAAGGCAGCGCCTTCCACTCAACACTGGGCGCCCTCCCCCAGGTCCTGCTGACAGGAAAAGGCAAACCACAGACGGGGCTGCGTGCTCCCTGCTGCAGCTCAAGGAAGAGGCTTCCGCGGGTCCCGCCCCCAACCCGCTCCTTCCCAACAGATGTCCGTCGTGTGCCTACCTGTGCCTCGGGCAG